CAGCGTCAATATTGGATCCAGTTGCATCATAATCCCAGGGGAAAACACGTCGATCTCGTATGCATTGTACGGGAGTGCAGAGACCAGTGACATATGGATACTACATTTCAATGACAATGTACTTCATTTCAGTTTAGTGCAGTCTAAATCCAACCCAGTAGGCGATGTAAAATTCATCAAACTCAAACAAAATACATAAACGGGTCCGAAAATGTGTGGACGAGAAATAAGCCGAGGAATAAGGTAGTTAAGAGTAGAAATCTGTAAACTCTTCTTACAGCCCATTGATTTTATGATATTCACTTTGATATATAACTGGTTCTTCTAGCGCGTTCGTCGGAGCGCGTAAAACATAAATTCACTGTGCAAAATATCCGACAATTGAGAAAAGCACTTATCAAAATGATTGAATCGTTTAACTGATTTGAAGTATCTAGTATTTGAAGTCTTTTCGGTTACCTTTGTCAATTTTTGTTTTGTATAAGGTTTCGGATAAACTTACTGAGAACAAGATCAAAATGTTAATCGTAAGGTGTAAGTTTTACAAAAATGTTTATGGGACAAGGAAAAATGTTTTGTACAATAATTAATAGTTTCTATAACTTTTGTACTAAACTGTATTGTTTCCAAGATTTCGTCCACAAACGTTTATTCACTGAAGCTCCACCGGAATCCTTCGGCATTTTGTTACCTATATCTTATAGATAACCAAAATTGACGACCCGAATGGCGTTGTGGACAGTGTACCTGCCTCCTGCGCCAGAGGGTGTGGGTTCGAGACACACTACTGAAAAAATATTGTGTGATGAACATAGTGTTTTCCTAGTGTCTGGGTGTTTATATATGTATAACATGTCTTTATTTATAAAAGTATGTAGTAGTTTATCAGTTATCTAGTATCCATAGTACAAGCGTTGCTTAGTTTGGGACTAAAAGAACTTTGTGTAAAAATGTATCCTAAAATATTTTATTTAATTGGATTAGTAATATAATGCGAAGTTAAATTCTATTTATACTGTGCTAGTAGGTTCGCAGACAGTTTGCTTTGGCTGTGAAGCTTTCATTAATTTTGAATTTTAGTCCAAAGAAATATATAAAAAAATTGACAATGATTTTATTTATTTCTCCTAAACTATAGTATCAAATACGACTTTTTTCTATATTATTCCTGTAAGAATATTGGTTCCTTTCTTTAAATGTGTTAAATTATACTTCTAGCTATTACTCCGATGCGTATATACGTACCTATATATAACTTGTAAAAATGTCAAGTTAAAATTCGTCTAATATCTCACTAAATTCTGGACATTGGTATATTTTAGCTGTTTTGTTATTTTTATTTGTTCCTGTTTTTTACACTTGTAGTTATGTACAGGTAAAATTACCTTTGCAATAAACTAATTTTCTTGGCCCTACAAAACTTGTTGTATGTGTACAATTGAGAAATCCCTTTCTTCGAAATCCAGTGACAGTTATAGTTACAAATGTATGCACTTAGCAAAATATAGGAATCTCAACGACCCCATCGAATTTTTAAGACACATCCGAAAGAAAATGCGGCCTCGAAATTTCGATTCCGCATTGGTGAACTGATGTTCAATTTCCGAAAGTAATAAGAGCGCCTTATGATTTACGAATGCTTAAAGACGAAGTCTGTAGAGTAATTCGATTGCCTACAGAGTTCTTTACCAAGTGGCGTTCTTGTTGCCACTGGGCTTAATAAAGAAAGCGGAACCGGTGTAGAGATCTTGAAGTTGATAGACTTTTTGTTTTATTGCTTTCGAAAGTCTTAAGTAACGATAAGACTTATAGATCCTTTTTAAAGCATTCTTTTTTACTTTTTGTAATAAAGTTTATTTGCAATTTATTAAAATGTATGTTGTGAAATCACTACGACTAAGACATTCACAAAACAAAACGCAGAAGTACACACTTCCACTTCATGCTCTTCTTCTGTGTGCTTTCCCGGTCGGATATGCCCATTTTTGCAACATCAAAGGTTGTCGCGTGGCCCTAAGAGGTGAATAATTGATAAAAGACTGAGCATTCTTTTATGAACTCTTCTCTAATTCCATCGAAATTCACTATGAAAACACAATCAACCGCAAATGTTTGCAATACGTGTGTCCGTCGTATCGATTTTGATTTTCGCTTACACCGAAATGAACAAACCCGCTTGATATTCTCAACACCGTGCGTTAGTTTTTAATTTAAATCCGATATTTGCACCTTTGGAAACTGCAAACGCGAAATGAACGTTATAAACTTAATAAGCGATGTTTTAAAGTTGAATGAAAACTGATTTGATTATACGAAGCAAATACACTTAGTTTAATGAGTTGAAGCAATTCATTTATTCACCACATAGAGTTCATTTGAGTCTCGTTTGTTGATGGATAATTCAAGTGGGTTGCGATATTTTAGGTCTCATGTATATAATAAGTTCCTCAGTGTCATAGGATTATTTTATATTTTAACGGTGGTAGGGCCACGCAGCAGCCTCGGCTGTTGCACGAATGGGCAGGCTCGTCCGGGTAAGTACCACGACCTCACGGAAGACCGGCGTAAAGTGGAAGTATGAGAAATACTTTCGCGTTTCGTCTGATGAGTGAGGTAGCCGGAGCCCAATTTCCAAAAAGGTTGTCAACGCATCATCAAACCCTGGGGTGTAGCAGATGTTCATAGGCGGCGGTATTCACTTACCATCAGGTGAACCGTCAGCTCGTTTGGCAACTTTTCTTTATTTATATTTATAACAAGATTTGCAATTAATATTAAATAACGTATCAGTGTATGAACGAAACTAATCGGTGTTTACACATTCTAGGCTTAAGACATTTAGATTAAATTTTAATCCCAATTTAGTCAAATGATATCTAGTAGCTAGTATATGTATATTTAAATTCGCACGATGATTTTTAAAAGTCTGTGATATTGAAATAAATGTGTTTTTGTGTCTAATATTTAATGCGTTGCAACAACCTTTATGGTTTTAGAAGTTACTATTATAGTAATTTAAATAAACAATAACATAAAATGAACAATAACATGATAATGCTATGCTATCCTTCGTCCAGGTTACAAAAACGGGATATGCTAAATAAAAGTTAATACAACTGGTCAAGATTGACTGACTATCTATGACTATATGGATATCGACTTTATTTAGCCTCGACATTGACAGAATCTTAAAATTGACCTTGATGGAGCCGTTATAATAAATTGAAATTGGAACATTATACAATATTTAGACATTTTTATATTTTTCTATCCGTTGTTTCATGAGAGATTTAAAAAACATAATATTGTTTAAATTAGAAGAAATTTAAAACTCTTAAGGAATCTTAGATCCACTCAAATCGGATTCTCTTTAACGATTGTAATCGGATTAAGCGTAAGGCGCTTTTATTGAATAAAAAATATCAACGGGTAACATTTAAGTATTCACGGAGATTTTGTTCGCGTTGGCAAAGAAATTAGGAAAAAAACAAGGAACACTCAGGAACCTGGTAACTGAGCACCTGTATTGATTTTTAACTTAATTCAAGCGATCCCGGGAACAATGAGATTTTTAATTGCAATTCCTAAAGCTGATATACCGTGGGCTCCATTGGCGATACCCGTTTCAACTTGACTGACTTCAAAAAAGGAGGGGGTATTTCGACTGTATTTTTTGTATGTTTGTTACCTCAGAACTTTCGACTGAGGGAATCGATTTTCATGATTCTTCTTTTATTTGAAAGCTGGTGCCTTCCATGTGGTCCCATATTACTGTCATTGGTATTGGATCTTGGGCTTTGGAAATAGTTAGCGAACTTTTAAAAATCAATTATAAAATTGACATAGAGCAAGATATTTGAAATCGGTTTTGTTTTAAGTTGATAATTTGCGTATAAAATTATTAAAGTTAAAAATAACATTATTGCACTAAAGTATGAAGTGGTCTAGAACTATTGTTATTATTACACGACCTTACATGGGTGGCGATGAAAACCATAAGGTTTGATTTTTAGCCTATTCTTTTTTAAATAGCTTAAACATGTTTGTACCCTTTCTATAAAGAGGAGTTGCGTGTAAATACTTAACGAATATAAAACTTCACAAAGTTGTAGACTTGCGGTACTTTTATTAAAACACGAATTATGTAAAAAACAGAATTTTATTTAAGAATCAACATTCATAATTACAATACAATAGAATTTATCTTACATCAAATTATTTATTTTAATAGAATCTTCACGAAGCGACATTTCTATAAATGAGGTTTCCATTTGACGTAAAACAAGTTTGCTTAGTTACCGTTTGAGCAAAGCGACTTCATCATTCTCTTGTTGTTCTACATTGATGATATTGACAGAACTATATCCTTATGATTAAAAACACCAAAACATTAAAAGAAAAACTGTTATGTTATTTTAACTGCTACATCATTTGATATAGCAGTGATATATCTCCGGATTGGAATATTACATTAATTAATTTATTTTATTCCATGACATTAGTCAATGTGTGTCAATGTCATAAGTAAATACAATATGAATCAATATACATACAGATAATTTAGCTCGTTTGTTAACTGTCTGTCAATCAGCGTAAAGTGTTGTATTTCTAAATGTGTTTTAAGCTCGAATAACAATTCAAAATATTTTTAGGACGACGAAGGAACTTAACATCGAGGTTATGAATGTAAAACAATCCAATATCATTAAAAATTTTATACACCCTATCTTACAAATACACGTTCTCATTATGTTAATGCAGTGACATTTTAAAAATCTGTTCTGCCTGTTATTTTTCGGTCATTGATAGCCAGCCGTAGCTTCTGACAAATGGAACCTTATTAATATCATCACTATTAAATAAGATATTATAAACTGATATGGAAGATTTCATCTATAAGTAACTTAATATTTATAATTCATTGGCATTTTTTGGAATTTACAATGTAGTCTTTGGATGAATTTATTTACAGGACGCGTGTTTTCTATTTCTTCTCGTTACCTTTGTGGCATCTGAAATAAAGACATGAATGATATTATAAACAAATACGAGGTAGATATGACAGTAGTACATCGAAACTGAGGCACTCAAATTAAGCCAAGATGTAATTATATTGCGAATTATATAGACTGCTATTTCTTTCGGTATCATACGTTCCATGTTATCTCTAACGTTAACTTATATACGTCATATAATGTAAAGCGGAACAATTTTTAAACGCTGCGCAGTATGGTACATGCGTTATCTTTATTAAAATGTCAATGAAGGGCATTGAAAAACTTTTAGACTTATAACGATATTAAATCTTGTTACACATTTCGTCCATATTTTGTATCAAAGTTCTAACGGTTTACGAACGTAAATTTTTGTTTTAAATTTACAAGTTATAGATACCAACCACATCATCGTGAAGCGGGGGCTGACTGTATGGTTCGGAAACCCCTTCTTTGTGGATCTCTCGTAATGTGTAGCTTTTGTTGTCATTGGACTCCAATACAACACGCGGGGGCTCGCTATCTATAAAATATATTATAATATTAAATGATGACTCCGCGGCGGAGTTGCCAAGGTATTGGCTTCACCGTCGGTGGTCGTGGGTTCGATTCCCATTCGGGACATCTATTTGTTTGACCCACAGACAGCTGTTTCACATCTGGGTGTTTATCCGCGTGAAATTTATGTTTGTAAAACGTCCTTACAACACAGAATGTTATCCTTAAGTAAGGGCAATGTTCTTTTTTTATTAAAGAAAAAAAGAATATGTAATTCACGTGCAATTCCTGTGTCTTCATATTGTGCTGAGTGTTCAGATCAATTTCACCTTAAATCGCAATTGATTATTTATATTCTAAAAATTCATAAAACAGTTTTATCTAAAGAATATTTGAAGAAATCCTTAGTAAAATACTTAAGTACTTATTTCTAAACTTGATTTTAAAACAAAGCATATTCTCCATAATAATGATTTGTATTTTATCCGCAGAATATTAAACCCGCCGAATGGTATATTGCGTTCCTAATAAGCTTTATGCAAAAGCAACTGCTATTGTTCCTATGGAAATTCCTAGCTCTAATTATTTGTAACGTTCCTGTGATTTATAGCTATAATTTTCAAAGTTACGAAATTTATTTCTACCTGGGTCTCAATATTACTTCCTAATTCACTTTTTGCGTGTCACCTCGCCAACTTGTACCAAATTTATTGTATACTTCTGAATGTTCTTTTTGTGATATAATCAGGTATTAAAGCTGAAGTGCATATGGTTAGTTCACTAAGACTCCGGCCTAGTAAACAATAGACGGATTTTAACAGTGCAAATTTTGTCAGGTTAATACACGATTCTACAATTTTTTTTCTATTTTGTGAAATTATAATCAAGGAAATGACAATGAAGTACCAGAACTTGAATAATGCGTCCCTATATACCTGAAATGCTTCAAATATACCATAATGAGAAGTTTAGTTGAGCTAATAATATACTTCGGTACGGCACCAGCCGTTTGTTATAAGTTAAATTTCTCCAAGGAGATTGAGCCATAGCACACTGAACTGATTTAAAAACATATCTGAAAGTTAAAATGAATTCTTACAATTGAAATCTTAAATTATTCATTACAAGCTTTCGAAGTGGAACTTTCCAGGGACGCATAAATGTATAAGAATGCCTGACCTAACTTGAGTTTACGGTTTTAATTCCTGACAGCTGCTATCTTTACGTAGCATCGTTATGATGTTCATTATATTTTTCATTACATTGATCGTGATGATATTAATTGTACGTTACGATACTTGTAAAGATTTTACTTCACTGAACAGTTAACATTGCAACGTTTACATTTTTTATGGCAATTAAAGATCAGTGAATCTCAATTGAATTGCCTTAAAAAATACGTGATATCAAAATATGGCTGGAACTAAATTCAAAAGCACGGCCAGCACATTGTGATAATTACAGCAAATATTCACTTACCAGATTTTGGATTTAGAATGTCCGGTTTGGTTTCCATTTTGTCCGCAGGGGCCGGGTAGGCTATTAAATACCTTCTGCCATTTGCGTCAACCTGCACCACGCTCTGCGAAGGCCGTTTACTCGTAGAGGCACTGTCGCTGCGTCTATATAAATGCTCTTATATATAAAACAGTTAAACGTTCTGTATGTAACATTGAGTGAAATATTTCAGAGAAATGTTAATAAGGTAATACAATAATGGGCAGTTCAGAAGTAGTCCGGTGAAGTTCTTCGTCCTCACAGAACACCGGCGTGAAGTAGAAGTATTACTACTTACACTCCGGTTTCGTCTGGTGAGGTAACTGGAGTTAATTTTTTTAAATATTACAAATGCGTCTGCTACTCTTTAGGTTTTATAAATGTCCGTGAACAGGGGTAATTATCTAAGACAATGAAAACCACTTTTGGAAGCTTTCGTCTCTTTAATTACCTAAATGCCGTTTAGCTTAGTGGCTAAAGCGTCAGGCCGCGAATGCCAAAGACGCGGGTTCGATTCCCACAGCGGCGACAATCTTTTCGTACTTTTTCTACAAATTTTAATGAATGGGCTTGCTAACACACGAAGAGCAACGACATCAACAAAGTTCTGCGTGAAGTAAAAGTATTTATACTTTTGACTGACATCTGGTCAGTGACGTGAGTCAGTGGGCAGTGGTTATTCATTCCATCAGTGATACATCTATTACGAGAGGCTCAGTGTCATCCACTCTAGCAATATTGAGGCTTTTTCATTATTATTAGCCCATTATTGAGCTTGCTGCCGCTAACGGCGCGAGGTAATCTATTAAATCTTAATTACTTTTTCAATATTAGCGCTACGATGGCTCCGATCGCAGTAAGAACGGCGGCTAACGCCGCGAACGCAGCAGCCGCCGGGAAACGAGAGTCCGACCGCGTCGTATTCTCTAAAGGAAGATCGTATTACTTTTAAACAATTTACAAGGAATATGGATATACCCTAGATAATATTTAGATAATACTTAAGTATAATATTTAGATAATATAAAAAAGTAAAGTAAAGTATCAGCCTATACATGTCCCACTGCTGGGAAAAGGCCTCCTCTGTACAGAGGGTATCAGGGCATAGTCCACCAAGCGGCCCCACTGCGGATTGGCAGACTTCACATATCTTCGATATATTTTTTTTATTATTTCGAAAATTTACAGGTTTTCTCACGATGTTTTCCTTCACCGCTGAACACGTGATAATTCAGCACTTGAAATTAACAATTTCATCGGTGCCGGCACCGGCACCGGTCGAACTCAGGTTGCTCGAGTATATTGAATTAAAGACAAGCGCCCGGACACTGAGCTATCACGGCTAGATAATATATACTTAAGTATTATCTAAATATTATCTATAGTATCTTTGTTCAAAAGTAATTTCGGAAAGAAAGGTTGTTGGTGACGGTAATTTTGAATAGAATTAAACAATATTACAGCTGGTTACGTTTATAACAAATCATTTCACCCTTATTCACTCTTATCTATAGTTCCTTTAAATATTTTATTAGCTTTGTGTATTTATAGTTCTTCTATTGATTTAGAGCCACCATACTTGAACTTACTCACCATTTTTGTCACTATTGGTGTCTCAAAACTAATCCTGTGTACATTAATCGGAAGTATAACTATTTATTAACCATTGCCTTTCCAATTCAATGGCAATAATACAAACTATGAAACGCAAAGACAAAATCGTTAAGTGGTTTTATGAAACCACGATGCAAGCGAAACTTTTTTTCGTATCGTAGACGGATAATGTTCAGTGGAATGTTAATTGTTATTTGTAAAATAATTAATAATTCAAATTAAATATAAATATTACAGGCTGAGCTGATGTGAGATATGGGCGCCGTCATATTTGCTTTAGTTGTACTGTTTTTGTGTTTACCTAGCGTCTTTCACTTTACCTCTACTTCGCGGCCGGCTGTTATGCGACATGCGATAGATGACTGAATAAATATGAGGCGATGGAAAAAAAGTTTCACTTTAAAAAGTAATATTTTAAGGGAAGATAAATACTATCCCATGATGTGTTGCTTTCCATTAAATAATATAAATAATTATTAGTCATTTGATGACACCGTGGCACAGTTGCCAAGGTATTTGCTTCGGCGCCGAGGCTCATGGGTTTGATCCCCACACGGGACAACTAATTGTGTGACCTACAGACAATTGTTTCGGATGTGGGCGTTTGTCCCCATGAAATTTATGTATGTAAAACGTCCTTACAACATAGGATAATGTTATCGTACAGTTTACTTATTTTTAAAAAAGAAAAAAATTAGTTATTTATACATAAAATGTTTTCAATACAATTGGAACGTAGGGAGAAGTCATACATACGTTCTAAGACACAGTTTAATTGTATGAATTTTAAAGTTATTACCTGTTTGCTTAGCGGCGTCTCTGTAAACCAATTCTCGGAGTATAACGGGATCAGATGCACCTTTGTTGTTCCGAGCAATGACAGCCAGTGCTTCGTCCTCGCTTAGATGGTCTAACTCCAGTAAGCTTATGTTCAGCGACACCAATAAATCTATACAATTAATAGTCATTATTCATTAAACTCTATTTATTATTATTACTGTAAGCAATATTCATGCAGCCTTGTGCAATATCCTTGCAATTTCGGGAGTAATATTACGGAGAAGAGATTTGGACATTTTCAAAGTTAACGTTATGATCGCAATTTGCAAATGCGTATGAAGTGTATGTGTCCGACAGTGTCAAAAGTTCCAGATTCCTCATAATTCTTATTGTTTAGAAAGTGCTGAATAAATTTGACGTAGTTGTATTATAAATTCATACAACGGGATTAAAAAAAAGCAATTATAAAAACTTTATGTGCTTACAGAGTACGAGTTCGACTCGTACTTGACCGGATTTTTTACTTTGTATCACTCCACCTAAAAACGTCGAATCTCACCATTTCTCTCAGCCGTTGCGTTGACCAAGACCCTTCCTGTATCCCCGAGAGCTTCCAAAGTAAAGTGCTGCGAGAGACCACCGTCGTAACCGGCGGTGCATTGAACCGATAGATAGGCTTCGCCGTTCCTCATCATCCTCTTTGCAGTACAGTTCTTCGGTGGAGACGGTCGGGCTACGTGGAGTCGAAAATTTGAGTAAAATAATCACATAAACTGTGGTAGGGCCACGCAACAGCTTCGGCTGTTGCACGAATGGGCAGGTCCGTCCGGGTAAGTACCACAACCTCACAGAAGACCGGCGTAAAGTAGAAGTGTTGTCTGGTGCGTGAGGTAGCCGGGGCCCACTTTGTTAAAAGGTGCCAATGCATCTGCAACCCTACGGGTATTGCAAAAGTCTATGGACGGCGGTGATCACTTAACTACAGGGGAACCGCCAGCTCGCGAGCTATCTTTTCACATAAAACATTAGATAACGTCAAGCATTGCTACAAATGCAATGAAAATCAAAGTAGATAAGACGATGACGAAGGCGATATTGACCGATTGGTTAGCAGCTTAACGTCTGGACGCGTAATTTAGAAGGCGCAGGTTTGAATCCTGGTAGCAATGAAAAATTGCCAATGTTTTATATACATATTTTTAACAAGGACTAGCACTTAAAAATTCACGCAAAGGAAAGAGAACATTCACAGCAATATCGGATCACTCGTGTCGTTCCATTCATCGTCCATGTCATCATGAGGTTCAAGTCTTAATGCCAGGTTTTAGTGGTGTATGAAATAAAAATGGGATCGAGCGATAATTTTCCCGGCTTACGTAAACAAACAGCGAGAACTTAAATAACGTTATCGAAAAAGCCGCCAATTTTCCCATTATCGGTTTTACGTCACACGCTGTTGCGAGATAATTCGAAACCGCTGCGGGTTCTGAGGCGATAATTAGGCAATATATATGTCTATAATCAATAGTCGAATATAAAAGCCGTAGTTTTGAAACTACCTTTTTCATTATAAGTTAAAGCTTAAATGAAACCAATTAATAAATATAATATATAAAATTAATATATCATTCTTATTAATCTAAAACAATGAGGGTTACGAAAATTTGCGTTAGTGCACGTAACTATATAAATGAAGAGAGGACGACGCTTAACTAACTTATCCAATTAAACCAGAACATGACGTGTAGAGTGGATATAGCAAATGTAATCACTAGAGTTTGTTTAGATCTGTTGTAAATTACAACGACGCAACCATTTTTTTATATTGAAACTAACGACCAAAAACTACATCGCGTATTTTCTATGATGTTTTCAAAATCTAGGAGCTCTTTCTGACCGTTTAAACTTTGTACCCATCACTGCTCTGATGATATAACAATTTTAAACAGCGTATCGAATATTTGTCCAAATACTACAAGTTGATAAGGTCAAGTTTGAATTAAAGAAACGGCACACTGAAATTAGTTTCGATAACTTCGTTCAATATCGGGTGGAAAAAAAGGGAGAAAACTTCTTAAACAGTTTTTTCTTTAGGTACTCTCCAAACTAATCGAACAACGTAATGCAGTCAACGAACAGTAGGGCAAAACTGATTAACGGGAGCAGGAGCACACTTTTGATATCGCGTAAACGGGACTCCAGCGAGCGTTCGGGAACCGAATGGATGAGTGGAAAGTTGAACGCGCCAAGTTTTCTCGTTACCCATTCCGTATTGGCCGCGGCTGTGATCGCTCCGAGTTGGGAACTTTGGTCGTATTTTAGAGCGCACTCGGCGAATTCCCGCCGTGGACCGCGAAATTTGATCCGGGCATCTTTAATTTAATAACGCAGCCGGTTCGATGTCAGCGAGGTCGATCCTCGGTTTATTATCTGTGTCAACTGTGAGTTCGGTTCGGCATCGACCGAAGTCACGGTTAAGGTTTTTATAAATTCCGTCTGGGAAGACTGCTGTGAGCTATGCGTATATCGCATAGACATTTTTTAAAGATATTCCTATCGGGAAAACGATTCACGCGGTGATGTAAGATTTTCGCCTAAAATGGTCACCCGCAACACCAAAGGTTCATACTATCGGGATAACGATTCACGCGGTGATGTAAGATTTTCGCAAATTTTCGAAAACCCGCTACCTCAAAGGTTCAGTTTCAAGTGTTTGCAAAGTTTAAAAGGGCTGCCCTTGAGTTGAATCAGATAGATACTAAATGAAAGCAACAGTATAAGTTCTTATAAATAAAACTCTAGGATTACGATACAAAGCGCTGTTAAGTCCGCCTATTCATAAGGAAGTAATAATGAACTGATGAATTCTCAACCACGTCCAAACCAGGTCCAAATTGATCAAACCAATCGAAATTAAATGCCTAAATCAGTTAAAAAACTTGTATTTATTAAGTAAATATGAAATTTCTCACGATTATGACAAAAATATAATCTAAATTAAGAAGAATTGACATTGATTGATGTAGTTTTAAAGTACGTCAGAGTTGGCGGTAGGCTTTTGTGTAAACAATAAAATAATTTTAACTCATTTGATACAAATTGGAAAAGTGAAATGATTACATTGAAATAAGAAATGGTTACCACGTGAATTGAGTAAATCTGCGTTACACTACAACCGTCAAAATTAAGGGATTATGAATCGAAGTCGCGAGACTATTGGTTATGGAATCAACTTCAAATACCTTTACAATTTACTGTAAAACTTTCTGTTCACGAAACCCATTTGAAGGCTTTCTGGTTCTGTTCTAGCTATGATGAAGAGACTTGCCTGCTGGTACTATCTGGAATACGCAGGGCTTGTCCTGACGACCAACTGCGTTCGTCGCCCTGCAAAGCAACGCGCCATAGTCCCGCTCGCTGGCAGCCCTATAACGCAATTCACTAGCCGTGCCGCCCGTCGACACTTGGGAGAAAATAATAAATCAATAAGTCCGTGCACAGTGCCGATCACTTACGATCTTGCTCATTGGCCACCTCTATATATACAGGGAGACTTTTTTAAAGGTGCCAAATTTATACAGGAGATTCAGACTCAGTAGTATAATCGTTTATTGAAATAAAAACAAACTTCTTTTTTTCAAAACAAAATTACCTTTCTATTCCCTAAAAAACAGAATTGACAATGCGGTAGTCAAACTTGTGTGCGTGTTAGTTATGAATGAACGCGCGTAAAATAAATGAGTTGCGTATAAATCACGCACTTTTTCAGTTAAGTTCAAATGAATGTAAATAATTACTTACGAGTGATTATTTTTTTATATAACTAGACTTATCATTTTTTATATGAAATTATTTATGTCTAGAATTTAATTAAAAATATGGATACACTCAGAAAAGCCTCCCTGTATAGAGAGCATTATTATCACTGAGCTGTTTAAGCATATTGCAATTTTTTCCCTATATTTAAAACGTTACAACCACTTAACGTTCAATGGCACGGACTGCTGACAAACGATACAAATGTCAAGTAGTCAAATCGAAGAGCTAAATCGATAAATCACGAATTTATAGCCTGAACCTGCAGTATATACGATCTAATGAAAACATTTCAGAGGTGTTTGACCGCAAAGTGAAATGCCACACGAAGGAATTGCTTTCAGTGGTCTCCTCACCGTATCTCGCAGGGGACACTTGGAAGCTTTCACCGCTGTTGTTGAACTGCCAGTAGAAGCTGACGTCAGCAGGATCGGCGCTGACCGTGCACCGGACCCTCAGTGACTCGTCGAGTCTCGCGCCGATGAGCAGCGGAGACGGTTGCTCGCAGACAGGCGCATCTGTACGTAATTCGAACTGAATTATCTTACAACTAGAAAATAGGTTAGCAATGTTTGCCTTCTGATATTATTGTATAATTCAATTCGTTCGTTTTGAGTAAAGAACTTATTTAATCCACCTTTGATTTTAAAAAATAAATACAAACAGTATGGACTTGAAAAATTCGATCATAAAATGTAAACCGATAGAACATAAGCGGTAGGATAAGATTTTCCCACGCCTAAATCGAATTGGATTCCTTAACGCCAAAGTTAATAGCTTAAAAATTGTGCTATGTGGCGCATCAATTTATTTCATAGTTTTAAAATTTAAAATGTATATATTCGAAGTACTCAAATAAAAAGTCGATCTTGCTTATTTTATATATTAATAGAAAAACGTAGAAAACATTAAGACATTTTTAAAGAAAAATAAACGATAGAGACGACGTTTACGTTAACGAAGTTTATTTTTATTTACAGTGTTAACGTTACAACTGATTATATTTTATGTTTAATGCTTGCTGTGATGATAGATATAAAACATCCAGAATTCTTTGTATTTGTGTACTTCTTTGAACTAATGTTCGCTAAATATTGAAAATTGGGTGAAAACGTACGAGCGTAATAATTTTCATTCTGCCAAAATATTTCTATTTTCTTGTAAGTTTGTTCATTGTATCTAGGACCATACACTTTTATACGTTTTTCAGTACAAAATAGTAGGGTACTGAAATGAAACTTGATAAAAATCTGTTATTTTAAAGGTTTTCATTAATAACATAACAAAAAAAAATCAATGAATCCTTATATAAATGATAAATAAACATTTTGGGACATTTTTATACAATGTTATCTAGTCCCAAACTGAGCAAAGCTTGGACTTTGAGTAGTAGGTTACTGGTATTACAACACTTTAAACAAACTTTTTTTATACTTAAATACAATATAAATTATAGATAGATAAACGCTCAGACATTAAAAAAATGGTCATCACACACCCTCTTGTGTAAGAAGCAGGGCCACCATCAACTACGCCAATTGTGCAGACTTTAAATAAACCCATATCAAACAAAGAATTTCGCTCACACTGCACTCGCAGATATACTGCTTGACTGCTCGATTCTCCGATCTGGTTAGCAGCTCGACATGTGTAAAGCCCAGCATCTCTCCTCATAACCCTCTGTAGGACTAGAGACTTCGTACTAATGAAGACACCGGAAGACATGTTCTGCGTGACTTGTTGGTCCTAAAAATTTCATGAAACTTTATACAGGGTTTTCTAAAAATGTCGCTTATTGAAATCCGTTTGTTAGATCCATTGATGTAAATCTTATAATATATACAATAGGGGTTAGTAAAATTTCTAAAGTTAAGCGTCATGTCTAAAAATTAATTTTAATCACCGTTCAGTAAAATAGTCTTTGTCTTGAACAAAGCTGAGAAAACAATAAATATTCCATGACAAGAACACAACAGACCATTGTAACAGCTATTAACCGAACGATTTTCAAAATATTCGAACCTGAAGTAACTAAGCTGTGTTAACGGAATATTTTCATATTTAATTGGTACAATGTAATGATGTACAACCCTAAAACAATGCAGTACAAAATGTCTCACACTTTTTAAATTAACAAAACAAACGTAACCGTTATTAATCCTACCACGTAGCAGTCACAATAAGGACTTGATTGGATTAATTTTTACACTTAAGAATTCAGTAAAATTCATAAAACAGTTTTACCAGGACAAAAATCAGAGTATTTTTTTTCGCCGTAACTTTTAAGTGTACTTAATTTCCCTATAAGCGTTATATGTATTCTAAAATATCAAAATTCTTATTCGTGACAACGTAGGGCAGTTGAAGAACAGATGAAGCTTGATTTGAAAAAAATGCTCATCGGGAATGAAATGTGAATCTCGTTAATTTAGCCGAAAGATTGTTTTGTGGACGACAGTTTCTAATATTGTGGCTTTTCTAGCTCCAATATATCAGCAAATTTGTCCAAATAGCGGATGGATTTTCAGACCAGGTGTGTAGAGAAAAGTTTGTTCCCACAAATACCCCGCTTTAGAAATATCGGCCAATTTGCACCGTGGCGGATTCAGTACATCGTACATGATTATACATTATGTTTCTTGTTTTAAACCGCAGCGTTTTACGGCGGATTGGGGGCTTAGTGGGATATTTTCGATTAAGTGGAACTGTGCTGTTCGTTTTATTTAAATATCAAACTTCACGCGCTGGTGAAATTTAAACCGGCATTAGCTTAAATTTTTAAATATTTGATGTTTGCTATGAAACAAGTCAATTTACGTTAGTCCGCATTAATTACCTACATTGTCTAAATGTGAAACAAATGACTGAAAGTGTAAACATCATTCAACAAATGTAACTAATTGGTCATTTTTTATATTAATGTTTCCGTCATACCGTTGGCGTGAGGTATAATTCTTTAAGTTTTAGCAGGTTAGAAGATTTTAGTAAATAAAACGTATGAAGATATGTATTTTGGTCCATTGTCTAACACTAAGCTATGTTTAAAATTTATATTTTTAAATAGCTTGAATTTCTTAGGGTAAGGTATAACGAGTTTAATTAATTAATGAGAGAAAAACACACACATTTACAAAAGTACGTAGATTTTCAATAAGCTCGTTTTTAAAATATATTTAGTTTCATATCCATGATACCTAAGAGTTCATGTATACTTTAAAATTAAGCACCTTGGTATGAATCAGTAACAAAACTCAAGCCAACTAAGAATAGCAAAAATCCCTTAGGTCTGAACGTTCTTTATGTACAAGAATCACGTGAAACTGAGCAGATTTTTAACTCACTCACGTTATGGTACCAGGAGATGCGGTGCTCTTTGGGGTTGGCTCGGATGTTGCATTCGAAGTAGACATCGTCACCCTCTTTTATATCGTTGGGATTCAACGTACTGCCCAAAGACATAGTGAGGACCGGTCTGTCTGCAAATAAAGATTCCTACGTAATTCTTCTCCTTAGCAAAAGCAAATTTATTCCAAAAAAGTAAAATTTACTTATTCTTACTCCATTTAGAATATTTAGAAAAATCGATGGTAAAAGTTCTTCAGATAATATAAATAAAAATTGTTGAAACTAAGTCTTTTAACTAACAAGATAAGCAAATGTTTGTATTTGATAACTGCCCAAATTCAGTACGATCAAAATACGTTTCATTTGTTAGTGATTCAGTCAATATCATTATTATCATATCCGTTTTGCGTTCCTTTGAAGAGTTTTTTGAAGTGTGACAGGCTCGGTCAGAAAAATTTAAAACAGCGTCCTAACAAGACATAATTAGATACTTGTCGAACCTGTTTTAACAGAAATGTGACAACCAAACGGTAAAAATAATAAAGTAAACAAAATAGGGAAAGAAAAAATAAACTTGCTGACAACTGATAAACATAAAGACTACAAAAATAATCTTGAATCACATAACAAATCCTTCGCAATACAATTACAATTTTACTTGCACTTTTCTAAACCTAAGCTTCTTTAGTGAAATGAAAGTCTAACAGTAAATAGTTGAGGCTTTTATAAGACGTCTAATAACATCATTAAGCGCGCTTACAGACAACGCTCATCCTGAAGGAGTCCTCCAAAGCCACCCTCAGGACCGGATTGTCGGCACGGCACCTTATTACCGCGCCGTCGTCAGCTGGCTGCGGCAGCATCGTGAGTCTGCTTACCGTCGACGTCTCATTCGCAAACTCGGCGTGCTGCCAATTAGAGTAGCAGACAGATATTGTGCGAGCGAGCATAGACACTTTATATGTGCGAGCGAGCATAGACACTTTATGGATGGATCTACTTCAAACACCATCGACGGCACGAATTAGCCATAATTTCATTGTATTTACAATGAAATTAATTTTACTTTGTACGCCACACAATCTATAAAACATAGACAGTTTAACTAGAATTTAATGAAACGAAATATAACGCGATAGAAACTACATTATAAGGAACAAAGAAGAAAAAATGTTATTACAACGTGACTATTTTGGAAACATATGAATTATTATTAATAAAAATATATTAAAGTATAAATAGTCAGGCAGTTTGTTAAATTTTAACATAACTATAATATATTCAAGAAGCTATATGATATAGGTTCAAAAAAATCACTTTCACTTTCAATCTCTTTGTTTAGCCGTGGTAATCAGTATCCCAGCGCTCGCCCTTATAATTTTTGTTAAGCCACCTGAACTAATTCATACTTATGCAGGTTTATATTATTTATTTTTATATTATGCAGGCTTACTACGCCCTCCGCGAAGGGTAACATCTGGAGAAAGCCTGCGCAATTGAGAAATATACCTTGCATACAAACGAAATTTTCACGGGTTGTTCTTATAAGTATTATGTAAGTAATTTTATAAATGTTTTGCAGGATTCCGTCATGTCTAACGTTTACCGCTTAGAAAATCGCATTGAATCCTTAATTTGAAAAAATAAAAAAGATCCAATTGTCATTTTTATGTGTTCGCTATTTTTAAATTGCCAATGACTTTTTCGAACTCCTGGAATAGTCCGAGAACACTCAACATTATAACCAGCAATTTCGTTCGGCCAGGTATCGAGGGAGTAACTCATATTGTTAAAGTGCTTTCAAGCGAACTACCAGCGTTGTTATACTGGTCTCTAAACAGAAGCAGAAACAACAGGGAGTTCTTTTATTCAGAATTGACTAGTGCTTTGCTATTGTTCCATATATTTCTTCACCGCAAAAATGAGCTTATTCTTCCAAACTATCGCAAATAGATAAAATTAAATCGTTAAGTATTCGTACGAAGCGAATAATGGTACTGAAATATAAAGCACGTTCGACTTTCTTCTCTGTTACTGAGAGATATTTCTGTGTATAAATATTTATATAAATATTTGTGATTGAAATAAACTACCACTGAGTGTTCAAAATATATTTTGTACAACTGATGGTTTCATTACTCGTCGCTATATTCCAACAACTTATTATAATAAAGTAAATATTTGTGTTCTGAGTGAATTATTTAGGTTGGTTTTATTATTCATCTTCAACTTCGTTATATTTCTATTAGTTTCGCTGTAGTTTTTTTTTATACTACCATTTTATTTTTAAGAAAATGCAGATACACTTTATTATTTTCTGAATAAATTAATATTTTTTCGGATATTACTACTATTGCGAATGTTAATTAAATGTTTAAGTAGTTGTGAGGTGGAAATGAACACACTTGCACAACTTTCGTTTCATCCAAAAGTGTGGTTGATGTTATATCAGTATTAACCAATGAAATTGTTTAGTTAAATTTTCATACAGTTTTCGACGCTTAACCTTTACGTACATCGCTCGTTAGGAAACTATGAAATGATTAAAAGCATGCATACGAAATGAATGCGAAAATCCGTCAATACGTAATGGGATCTAAGTGTTAGGTATTCTCCCAATGATGTAGTTAATGAAGTCACCTTTGTTTTTCTTAGTAATTTTTGAAGTTATTAAAGCCGTGTTGTTCATGTGCATACCTTGCCCCGCGTATATCTTCGATTTTCCCTGAACCAAGTGATCTGCGCTGGTGGTCGGCTTCCGTGAGAGACACATATGAGCGTAACCTCCGCGTCAGCCGACATGAGGCCTGGCTTCTCCACTATGTACACTGAGGTCGGGCGAACTATAAAAAATAAAAATCAAATAATTCTATGTTACGTCATTATTATTCACCTGTCTTATTCATAACAAAACGTTTATCGAAGGTACAGACCTAAATTAGTTAAACGCTCGATAAAAATCTTTTCTAAATCTTCAATAAGCCTCCGATAACAAAAATGTCTTTATAGAACATAATGTTGCAATTTCGTAGAAAAATAGTGAAATGGGAATGATAGAAGAATGGTTTGATGAGCAAGTCTAGAACTTGTACTGTGATTTTTATGGCATTACCTACCTACAAAATTTTACAGTTTTTAAAATATTTCTCAATTTTTTAATTTTTTAAAATTATTATTGGAAAAAAATTAAATAATGACGACTCAATTGACGTAGTGGGTAATGGACCGGTCTATTACTCCAGAGGGTGTGGATTCGATTCCAAATACTGTGGAAAGTTTGTATGATGAACATAGCATTTCAAATTATTTTTTTTTACAAAAGAATGGTAATACCATTCTACTTAAACATACTATGTTTAAGTATGTTTATCAGTAACCTAGTACAAGTAACTAAACTAAGTAACATTGCTTAGTTTGGGACTGATAAGGTTGTGTAAAATATGTTCTGAAATACTTATAAATCTTTATTTAATATTATAATATCGATTGCGTAAGATTTACGCAAACACGACAACGCAATACTCTCTGATAAACCCCCTATAAACCTAATTTCTAAAGAAATAAAAAGCGAACATCTTTTTGATTTAACTTCTAAAGAAACAGTGTTCGTTTTTTGATTAGTTTGTTTTTCTTATCGTTTGTTTTATGATGAAAAAACACTTTTGAAGTTTTAAATTCCATGTAAAGCCAATGAAACCTTTTTGCATTGCATTGAAATATGTGTAAGACTTGGTGATATGCCATTATCCTGAGACAATTTCCTTTTGTTTACCAATTGAACAAGTCCGTCCGACCAAATACCACAACCGGGGAAGTACCACGACCACACGCTAAGTTTTTATTCGGAAACCCACATTCACATCCGAAAACCCTCGGCTAGGTTACGTTTAAGTTAAATACAGCGCGCAATTAATCGACGACGAACGCATCGGGGATGCAAAGCGACTTCGCCAAAGGCAATTACCGGCATTAAGTCGCTGGAGCGAGGCACGATTCGTGAGATACGGAATTTGTCTTGGCACGTGGCTCCGTTCCTGATTAATGCAGCCAGGATTTGCAGCTGCAATCGCCGGGACGCTTTGAGCGGTTTACGGGAAGCGACTCGATACGTCGGGGACCGTTCCGATGCTGCGATCGGCGCAAATGTTCGCGGTGAGGATTTATTTACGACAATTTCGGCTTCCGTAAGATTCGAGCACTTCTTGATACTTGATACTTGAAACTTGAACTTGATAGTAATTTTGGTGAAATGATTGATCAGTACAGTCAAGAAGTATTTTACAACCGACTTCAGAACTTTCAAGTGAATGAACCTATTTTGAGGATTTTTTTTTAATTTGAGAGCTGGTGCCTTCCATGTGGTCCCATATTAATTTCATTGGTATTACCTTGGGCTCCGGAGATGCTTAGGGAACACCTGAGAATCAATTATGAAATGAATACAGAGCGAGATATTTGAAGTCTTAATAAAAAATACACTTTAAAATTTGCAGACTTGCTGTCGCGAGTATTAGTCGGAGCTCATGTTTCTTAATAACAATTTGAATAATATTTTTGGTTTGATCTGAAACCTCTAGTACTAACGATACGCTGCGTGTTACTGCTTCTAATGTAACTTTACTTATGTTCACCAACGATTTAAGTTTAGTACAGAATTGTAACACGTTTAATATTAAGACCTGAAGGAGTTACTGCGCTCAATATATCTGAACGTTAAAATTTAGCAACTAGTTAAGTCGTATTACACGTGTGACTTGACTTTTGGAAGTAACTTACAATTTAGGTCTATATAAGGTTACGAGAACTTATTAAGCAGTAACTGTGCCCCCGACTTCATCCGCGTGGAATTTAAAATAAAAAGAAATCTAAAATAGAAGTAGCCTAAGTTACTCCTGACATCAGCTATCTGTCAGTGAAAGTCCCATCCAAATAAGTCCAGCCGTTTCAGAGATTAGCCGGAACAAACAGACAGACAGACAGACATGTAAAGATGTGATTTTGGTATATGTACCGTGTATACATCCATATGCATTTAGTAAAAAGCGATTATTTTAATATTACAAAGAAATACTCTAATTTTATTTATCTGTATAGAGTATGTATGGAATATAGATTAGATTAGACTAATCATGAAGCAAGGGGTGCCCTAAGCACTAGATTTCTTTTAATCTGTGTTCCGCCCATTGCCATTTGCAACTCTGGTTGACGCGTTGCCATCTTTCTAAGTGGGCCCGGCTACCTCACTCTCCAGACGAAACGCAGAAGTATAACACTTCCATTTAACGCCGGTCTTCTGTGTGGTCATGGTACTTACCCGGACGGACCTACCGATTCGTGCAACAGAGAGCAATGCTGCGTGGTCGTTCCACCTATCAGATTCTGGTACTCACGATTCATTTCGACTCTCGCCGTCCTCTCGTGGGGGCTCAGCAGTGGTGTGTTGGTAGCCTGACACCGAATGGTGGTGTTGAGCCAGCTCCTCTCCGCGCCACCAATACTGATCCTGCTGATGATCACCTTGCCGTCGTTCTTGAGTATCGTGTGGTCATCAATTGACTGGTTGTTGATAAGCCAGGTAAGGGTTGGTTGCGGTCGACCTATGGACAGAGGAAGCTGATTTGATGATGTCGTACGATGATAATAGTTCCTATAATTTGGACGCTTAACTACGTCATTTAACGATGGTCAATATTTTTAGTTCCTTTTTTTTATTTTTAAAGAGACATACAAGATTTTTTTTTTTTTTTTTTTATGCTATACAAGATTTCTTTTAGTTAGGCTCCATGTTGTGATACATACCTATATACATACTTTTAATATTTTGGTTCTATGTCATACTAGATTCAATACATTGCGGCAATATTGAGTCTACGTGAGATCATGTCAGAGACTTACAGGAAGCAATAAAAGACTAAACAAATTATTTATTACGTACTCAAAAATCACTTTTTTAATCAGATTATCAATTCGGTGGTAATTTTTGTTTTTATGTTTGTTATCTCAAACTTCATCTGTTATGAACCGATTTTAAAAATTATTTTTCCAATTCGTTTGGTTGGATCCCGGATATACATCAAAGAACTCAAAATGAAATAGAAAATATATAAAAAGTGACAATTTTAGGTTGGTTTCATTTTTGCTATTAAAAATTCTATACTTTTAAACACATACATTACATACACTAATCAAATTTCTTACAAAAACGAAATATATGCAAAATTATGTTTTAACAGTAATGTGACAGTATTAGGATATTATTAATAGATTAGCAGCCTTGGCTGTTGCACGAATGGGCAGACTCGACCGGGTAAGCAGCACGACCTCGCAGAAGACCGGCGCAAAGTGGAAGTATAATACTTTCGCGTTCTGTCTGGTGAGTGAGATGGCCGAAGCCCAATTTTCAAAAGGTTGTCAACGCATCTGGATCGCTCGGGTATAGCAGATGTCCATGGGCGGCGATATTCACTTAACATCAGGTGAACCGTCTGCTCGCTTGGCAACTTTTCACATAAAAAAATATTATGAAAAATGTTTCTTTTTCAATTGACTCGTATATAGTTGTTATGCCGAATGTAAAATGTCGTTGTGGCAGAAGTATCAAACGTTGTATAGGAATTTTGTTAGACACAGTCCCGCTGCTAATGGGATTTTGCGGTGCTGTGTCATACTCTGAAATAATTGTGTGTTTTCCCACACACGGCATGGCTCCGCTGAACCATTTTTCCATCACTGCATGTTAATTCGTTATGATTTAGATTGCATTGAAAGTTTTATCAGAATATTCTTTATTAAGCAGAACCCCCAAAACTTAGTGATTACTGTGATCCTTATATCTGTAGCACCAAAAGGGCTACAAGGGAGCTCCAAACCTTTATTTAAGTCGTGGGAGAATAAATCTAAAAGCTCAGAATGTGATATTTGACGAGAGTAAACAGAAAACTAGAAGTAGGTCTGTTGAATGCAGTTTCAGTAGCCGACGCAAATAAATCCGAGATTAAATTGCATTAAGTGAAATTTAAGACACGACCCGCTCCGCAAATGTTTAAAGTGGCATCCATCCAACTTTATACGTTCTGTACTAATTCAAAACTAAGCTATACCACAATATTCAAAACAGTATATTTTAAAAGATCGCACGACGCCTTTAATAACTCCTTACTTCCTAGCTTTGTTATTCTTAATACAATGTAATCTTCTTTTACCGTAATAAAATAAATGTAAGATGAAAAAAATTTAAACAATTAACTTAAAACCTTAAATTAACAAAATGTTTCAATATAATACAAATTATCGACTATCCGAGTAATTCACCAAAGTTATTCAAATTTCTCATTAAAAATAAGTCTATAAAGCTAATGTATACCTATAGTACTTAGAGGTAATTTTGTATATTAGGGAAATTGTCCAAAGCCAACATTTAAAATATGATTTAATATTGAAATGTCCATACAGTAAATGAACTGGCGATGTTGAAAAAATTAACAGTATTAAAACGCCTAAACAGAAGGTTGAAGAAGTTTTAACAACAAACAAGCCAGAAGCCTGCAGCCAATTTCGCCAAATCCAATACTCCCGTTCCGAGGCGTCGAACTCCGAACTTAGCCGAAGCTATCGAACATGTCACAAACTTTTCCAGTTTTCTTCAATCAGACAAGTTTCACTCGAATTCAATATGTTACCCTAACAGTTTCTATGTAGAAGTCTTAAATAGTTATTCCAGTTGGATCGTTAACTTGAGTGATTATAGTTTCAACGTTGAGTTTAAACTTTTCTTCCGTCTCGTCGTTACGCAATTGCCAGCACTATGAAGTAAGTGTCCATAATATTTCAACGGTGATTGTCTACACTTTTAACATACCGCAGTAAATAACAGTATACGTGATAGAATAGAGACAGTAATAGTTTGCGATATCAACGATGTAGTTTTACCGAATTGCGTATAAAAAGATAGTGGTGAGATGCGAAACGGAACTCAACGGTGAACACTGGGTTTTAAACCAGCGTCCTTAAGTCGATAGTCAATTGACTACATCGTTGTTGTTTTATATATATTTTTCCAAACCCTCACGACTTCGTCTGCGTGGAATTTAACATAAATAAAATTTCTAATATGAAAGTAGCCTAAGTTACTCCATATTACAACAGCTATCTGATAGTGAGTCCCGTCAAAATCGGTCCAGCCGTTTCAGATATAAGCCGGAACAAACAGACATACAAAAAAAATATTTTGCTATATGTACCCTATTATACATCCATTCGCATTTAGTAAAAAGTGGTTATTTTAATGTAATATATTTTATTGGAGTGTCTGTTTTAATATAAACAGACACTCCAATTTTATTTATTTGTATAGATAATTTTGTCCTTTTAGCGTTTTTAGGCTAGTTTTGCACTCGTACTAAATCGAATGACCTCACTATCTCTTTGTTGATGGAAGTCTTCAAGTAAAGATTGTTAGTGAAATGGAACGCAACCAAATGTTTTTTTTTTTTTTTTACGTCTATGGCGCCTCTCTCTTTTTGATTAGCTGCTAGTTGTAACTGCGTTTTCTTAAAACGGAATAAAACACCTTCATAATTAAAGGTACGTTTAATTTCATACCACAACTACACAAATATTCCTATATGGTAGCAGAGCGTGGTTCAGAAGTGGTATAGTTGGTGAAATATTAAGAACGTTGAAAAACTTCAATCAGAAAATTGTCGTTGCAATTTGAATTAGAGGTTAAGAAAACGTGCACAGTTTACAGTTGAAAAATTACATATTTCTGGTGAACGCCCGCAAGATGGGCTCAAATATGTTTAATTTAGAGAAATTGGTTGGAAGAGAAAACTTCGCGACATGGAAGTTCAGCATGAAAACGTATTTAGAACATGAAGACTTATGGTGCTGTGTCGAACGTCCCGATGATAGACATGTAGATGCAAGTAAAGACGTGAAAGCGAAGTCAAAGCTGATATTGTTGTTGGATCCGCAGAATTACGTACATGTTCAGGAATGCAAAACTGCGAAACAAGTATGGGAAAATTTACAAAGGGCTTTTGATGACAACGGCTTAACTAGGAGGGTAGGTCTACTTAAAGATCTCATTAATACTTCATTGGAGTCGAGTAACAGCGTCGAAGACTATGTTAGTAAAATAATGAACACTGCTCACAAACTGCGTAATATCGGATTCGATGTCAACGATGAGTGGCTTGGCACTTTGATGTTAGCTGGCTTACCGGAGGAGTATAAGCCTATGATCATGGGCTTAGAGAGTTCTGGTATTCAAATCAGCGCTGATGCAGTTAAATCAAAACTCATACAAGAAATTAATACATCAAAGTCAACAGCTTTCTACATAAACACTAAGAAAACAAGAAATAGTGTGCAGCCAGTGAAATCAAAGGGACCTAGATGCTTCAATTGTAATAAAAGTGGTCATTTTGCTAGGCATTGTAAACAAGCAAAGAAACAATCTGCAAGCAAAGGAGAGTGCTCCAGTTTTGTAGCAGCTTTTTCAGCGACCATTAAGGGAAACATTAAAGGTGATAAATGGTTTCTAGACTCCGGTGCATCCATGCACATGACAAGTAGAGATGATTGGATGTACAATGTAACCGAGCCATCAGTAAAGAATGTCACCGTAGCTAACAGAGAACCATTAGCTGTGAAGGGAGTCGGTTGTGTTAATATACATGTAAGCCAAGATAATGTGATACAGGTCAGTAATGTTTTGTATGTTCCTGGGCTAGCTGCTAATCTACTTTCAGTAAGTACTATTGTGGAAAATGGACATAAAGTCACATTTAATAACAGGGGGTGTGCAATTCAAAATGGTGAAGATGAGGTGGTGTGCACTGCAACATTGAGCAATAAGTTATACATCTTGGATACTAGAAATGAAGTGGCACATTTAATTTCAAGTTCTCAAAAATGTCATAATGCTTATTTGTGGCATCTGCGCATGGGTCATTTAAATGTTTCAGATGTGAAGAAGTTGCCTGGTTGTACAGAAGGTGTGACTCTGACTCAGGAGCTAAGTAATGTCACATGTGATCATTGTATGGAAGGTAAGCAAGCAAGGACCCCATTCAAAAATGTTGGTTCTAGAGCAATAAGACCACTAGAACTCATACATTCCGACTTGTGTGGCCCCATGGAAAATACATCATTTGGAGGTATGAAATACTTTATTACTTATATTGATGACTTCACACGAATGGTCCATGTATATTTTCTCAAAGACAAGTTAGATATTTTAGAGACATTTAAAGATTTCAAGTTGAAAGTAGAGAATGAATTGAATCTCAAGATAAAAAGGATTCGCACAGATAATGGTAAAGAATACTGTAACAATAACTTTGAAAAGTTCTTATCTAATCATGGTATAATTCATCAGACCTCTACTCCCTACACTCCCCAGCAAAATGGCATGGCCGAAAGGATGAACAGGACTCTAGTAGAACGAGCAAGGTGCATGTTGTTCTATGCCAACCTGCAGAAGAACTACTGGGCTGAAGCTGTGGCAACTGCTGCATATATTGTAAACCGCAGTCCAACCAAGTCTTTATTAGGTAAAACCCCATATGAAGTTTGGAAGGGTAAGAAACCC